TATTTTCATTTGATTCTTTGACTTGAACAATTAATTTTCATATTAGGTATAAAGTAGATTTTATTTTATAGTTTGTTGTTGTTGTTAAGTGCTGTCGAGTCAATTCTGACTTATAACGACCCTATATAGGGTTTCCAAGGAGCAGCTGGTAAGCTTGAAACACCCACCATGCAATTCAAGCGGCTTTGCAGTCTAATGCATTAACCTGCAGCACCACACCATGACTCCATATTTTGTAGTTTAGAAATTGATAAATGTTTAGTAAAGTTTCACAGATATCCATGTATTGCTATCATAATGATTCTAAGGTAAAAGAGTAAGTGTATGTATTTATCTTGGCTTGTGAAAAGGTTTTGGAAATTAAGAACTAAAAAAATTTACATTTTCAAAAAACTTTCAAGTAATGCTATATATATTGTTCTCATCAAGTATGTTAACTGCTGAGGCTTACGGGCTTATAGTTCTAAGATGAAGCTCTCAGTCTTGCAATTCAATAAGTATATATATATTCAGTAGCTCTGGTAGTGTAGTGATTATGAGTCAGGTTGCTAACCTCAAGATCAGCAGTTCGAAACTACCAGCCTTTCCGCAGGAGAAAGAAGAGGCTGTGCGTTAATGTGCCAGACTGCAAAGCTGTTTGAACTGCAAGGTTGGCAGTTCAAGCTCACCAGCTGCTCCTCAAAAACCCTATACAGGCTTGATATGGGTTGGAACTGACTGCGGCACTTAACAAAAACAACAAAGATTTACAATTCCTACTCACTGTGAGTTGGAATTGACTCCTTACTTAGCACGTCACCACCACCATATTCAGCAACAGTTATGTGCAAGATTCTGCTTGGAATTGCAGCACAGTACAGTCCTTGTTTACCAGTATCTCACAGTGTAGAATTGAGGCAAACAACACTATGTCAACTCCATGAAGTTAGACAAGGCTGTTACTTACTCCTCTCCCAAATGGTGTATCTGCAGTGCATAGAGAGAGTATTGAATGTTTACATAGTAAGTGTTCGTTTAACATCCGTATTTTATCTGAGTTTAGTCTTAGGCCCATTTTTATGTATTTCAAGTGGGAATCATACTTAGTCCTCTTTTTTCTAACCCTTAATATTCAAGTCCTATCAAAATATACTTTGGACTTTGCCATTTTTCTCCATCTTCACTGTTATTAATGCTCAGGTCACTTAACTGTCATTTCTTTACTGCCTTAGTGTTTCCATTGGCCTCTCTGCTTCTTACTCTCCTTCTTTCCAAAATCTCCTTTGTACAACTCAGGTTTCCTTTTTAAACCAAATGTTTCATAACCCTTAAAATGATATACAGGGACCAGCATTATTAGTCTCATATTGTTTAGTGTATAGTGTGCACTAGTCCTATTAGGATTTTCTCAGTTTCTCAGACTATGCCAGATTCCTTGTCAACACGAGCTTTGTCAGAATGCTGTGATCTTTTTCATCCCCATTGTCTGATCTTTTAGGTAACCAAGTCACTTCCTTAAAGAAGCCCTTACTGATTTCCTAACATTATGTCTACCTATTATATGATCTTAGTTAAGAACCCTGTGCGTTCTGGCCATGTTGTTGTTAAGTGCTGTTGAGTCGGTTCCGACCCATAGCGACCCTGTTCAGGGTTTCCGAGACTGTAAATACAATTACTGAATTTTATATTGTTATTTATAAGCATTATGCAGGGTTGCTTTGATTTGGAATCGATTTACTCAGTGGGGAATGAGGATGGGGTTAATAGGGAAGGGAGTTTCTGAGAATAGAAATTGCTAATATGCTCAGGTGCTAACCAAAAGGTTGGTGGTTTAAATCCATGTAGCTGCTCTGTGGGAGTAAGATCTGGCCATCTGCTTCTGTAAAAATTGCAGCCATGAAAACCCACTGGGCAGTTCTACTCTGTCACATGGGTCCCTATGAAATGAAAATGACTTGATAACACCTAACAATAACAGCTTATATGTTACGTGTTTTTCTACATTTTTAGCCTAAAGCACCAAAGAGAAAAAATGGAGGCCAGGAAAAAAAAGTCATCCATCCATATAGTAGAAAAGCAGCTCAAATTACAAGAGAGGCTCACAAACAAACAAAAAGGGAAAAGTAAGTATCTTTTCATTTTCATTATTCATTGGTAAAAACATCAGATTATACATTTATCCTTCAAACACCTATTTTTCAAATCAGTGTTCTTCTCTATCTCTTCTTTAGTAATCTTGTATTGAGGGCTCTTAAACATTGAGGGCAAAACAGTGAGTAAGGACTCTGGTCTTGTAGAGCTTATGTAAAACAGATAAAAATTAATTTCAATAGGTTATGATGACTATGATGAAAAATTAAAAAGCAAGCATCATGGGATCGAGAATGATGGAGAAATGCTATTTTAAAATAGGATGGCCATCAGAAGCCTCTGTGAAGAAGTTACATTTGAACAGTGCTAAACAATGATTGTATTTTCAGTAACCTCATATGCAGGCAAAAGCTGGACAGTGAATAAGAAAGACCGTAGAAGAATTGATGCTTTTGAGTTATGGTGTTGGAGGAGAGTATTGAAAGTACCATGGGCTGCCCAAAGAACCAATAGATCCATTTTGGAAGAAGTGCAGTCAGAGTGCTCCTTAGAGGCCAAGATGGCCAAACTTTGTCTCTCATACTTCAGGCATATTGTCAGGAGGGACCAGTCACTGGAGAAGGATTATCGTGTTTGGTAAGGTGGAAGGTCAGAGAAAAAGAGGAAGACCCCCAATGAGATGGATTGACCAAGTGCCAGTATCGATGGACTCAAGTGTGGCAACGGTAGTGAGGTTGGCCCAGGATTGGTCAGTGTTTTGTTCTGCTCTGCATAAGGTCGCTATGAGTTGGTACTGACTCAATGGCACCTAACAACGACAACAACAATGATGGAGTGAAATGCAGATGTAAGTAGGATAAGCACTGGACTGCTAACTCCAGGGTCAACAGTTCAAACCCACCAGCTGCTCATTGGAAACCGTATACAGGGTCACTATGACTTAGAACCAATTTGATAGCACTTAACAACAAGTAAGAGCCTAGTGAGCCCTAGTGACTTGTGGGTTAAACATTGGGCTGCAAAATGCATGGTTGGCGGTTCAAACCCAGCAGCCACTCTGCAGGAGAGAAATGAAGCTAACTGCTCCTGTAAAGAGTTGCAGTCTCAGAAACCCTGTGTAGCAATTCTATTCTGTCCTAGAGTAGAAATTGACTTTATAGCAGTGGGTTTGGTTTTTGAGTTTTTTATTAAGTGCCTTTCAGACACACAATAGGAACTATAGAATGGGCATTTGAGTATATCAAGTCTAGTTGTCAAGGCATAGCTTAAGCAGGTAGTCATGAATTTGTAAACCATCAGCATCTAGATGAGGTTTCAAGCCAGGAGACTGGATGAGATAACTGTAGGACTAATGTATAAAGAGAAGAGCAGAAAGCCAAGGATTGAAGCTAGAGGCAGAGGCATTTTCCGACTAGCTTAAGCGTTTGGAATAAGAAGAATCCAACATGAGGCTGAGGAGTGGCTGATGAGAAGGAAATAAAAGACAATTGTATTTCAAAGAGAATGTGTTGTTATTGTGAAGTGCAATTGAATCGGATTGACCCATAGCGATCCTATATAGGGTTTCCGAGGAGCAGCTGGTGAGCTTGAACTGCAAACCTTGCAAGTCAAATGGCTTTGCAATCTGGTGCATTAACCCATAGTGATCAATATATGCCATATGATATTGATTAGTATGAGGACTGAGAATTGACCATCAGATTTAATGTGGAGATCATCAGTAACCATGTTGTTAAGTGCTGTTGAGTCGGTTCCGACCCACAGAGGCCCTATAAAGGGATTCTGAGGAGCAGCTTGTGAGCTTGAACCGCCTACCGTGTATTTCAAACTGGCTTGGCAGTCCATGGCATTAACCCATAGTGCCACACTAGAACTCGTGGGAAGTAACCAGGGGAAGAGTCTTACTGTAGTTGTAAAAAGATAGCCACAAGAGACTGCACCTTTGTATACCATTTAATTCCCTTGTTTCTTTCACTATGTTGTGTGCTGTTGAGTTGGCTCTGACTCATGGTGACCTTGTATAGGGTTTCCGAGGTTGTAAATCTTTTTGGGAGCAGAAAGCCTTGTTTTTCTCCTGTGGCAGCTGGTGGGTTCAAACTGCTGGCCCTATGGTTACCCAGTGCAACACATAGCCCACTATGCTTCCAGAGTACCATCTATTCCTGTATGCATATTGTTAAATTATTTTTTTGGTGATTTTCCTGGGGTTTAAAATTAGCATCTTAAGTTAGTTTGGATAAATATTATTTTACTCTCAATTGTATAAAAAAACTTTTGCTCCACTAAATTCCATTTCCATCCTCTCTCATCCTAGTTACATTTCCATACATTCTAAGCCTGCCATCAATTTTATTGTTGTTGCTTTATATATTTACTTTTTAAATTGGAAGATAAAAAGTATTATCATCAAAAAATATGTATATTGACTTTTATATTTACCTGGAGTACCTGGGTGGTACAAATAGTTAATGTGTTCACTGTCTACCTGGAAAATTGGTGTTTTGAATTCACCCAGTGGTGCCTTGGAAGAAAGGCCTGGTGATCTACTTTAAAATAATCAGTTATTGAAAAGCGTAAGGAATACAATTATATTCTTATACAAGCTGGAATCAGGAGTCCTGGTGTGGTGCTGTGGGTTAATGCGCCAGACTGCAAAGCTGTTTGAACTGCAAGGTTGGCGGTTCAAGCTCACCACCCACTCCTCGGAAACCCTACACAGGGTCACTATGGGTAGGGATCGAATCGATGGCACTTAACAACAACAGCAAGTGGTGGTTTGTGCCATCTAGTTAGTTCTCACTCATAGTGACCTGGTACAGGGTTTCCAAGGAGGGGCTGGTGAATTAGAACTACCAACCTTGTGGTTAGCAATCCAGTGCTTATCCTACAACGTTACACCAGGTGGGGGTGTTACATTTACCAAAAGGCATGTTCTTGACTACTAATGTAAAGGTTGGCAGTTTGAATTCACCCAGCAATATCGTGGAAGAAAGATCTGGTGACTTGCAAAAATTGTTGTTGTTGTGATGTGCCGTGGAGTTGGTTCCGACTCAAAGCGACCCTGTACAGGGTTTCAAAGGCTGTAAATCTTTACGGGAGCAGAAAGCCTTATCTTTCTCCCGTGGAGCAGCTGGTAGTTTCGAACTGCTGACCATGAGGTTCGTAGCCCGATTCGTAATCACTACGCTACTACAGCCATGAAAACCCTATGGAATAGTTCTACTTTGTGGCACACAGAGTTGCCATTAATCATAATTGACAATAATAAGTAATTGCCTTTACTGGTGCCCTTTGTTTCTTGAGGTAGATTTGACCTACTCTGTAGCAGTCTTTCATTTCACCTTGAAAGACACTTTTTAGTATTTTTTTTATAGGGTAGAGCTGCTAGGGAGAAATTATTTCTGTTTTGGTTTTCTGAGAACATCTTATATTTCCATCATTTTTGTTTTGCTGAATACAGGCGTACCTCATTTCAGTGTTTGCAGATATTGTATTTGTTATGAATTGAACTCCTGTGGCAGTCCTGTTTCCAGCAAGTTTATTGGCGCCACTTCTCCAACAGCCTGTGTTCATTTTTATGTCTGTGTCACATTTTGGTAATGCTCCCAATATTTCAAAGTTTTTTGTAATGCTATTTCTTTCTTTTCTTTAAGCTTTTATTGTGGATTGAGTGAAAGTTTGCAGGGCAAATCATCAGTTTTACATTTAACAAATCATACAACTTCTTTCACGACAATGATTACATTCCCCTCCATAACCATCAGTTAACAGTATTTCTCTCTATTCACTTGAGCTCCTTTTTTTAAAAAACGCTCAGGTATATATAATAATTTAAACCACCAAAGGGCACGTTCTACAAGTCTGCCTCCTGGCCACTATCTCTTAGTCCATCTCTTCCGATGAATCTAGAGTCCTCAGCTGCCCCTTCTCTCCATGTCCCTATCTCTGCCTCCATCTCTGGTATCGCTGCTTCTCTGGATAAGGTCCCACATTCTGCTTGTACTCTTCCCCCTTGATAGTCCTAGGGTCCTCTGTTTCTGAACTGTAAGATTAACTACTCCCCCATTTTTGTTACAAAACTTCTACCTTTATAATTGTGACAGTCACAGTTAGTCATTGTAACAATTACTGTTGAATCATAGGAAATCTTATCCCCATCTCTTTTAACCAGACCCATTTAGACAAAAAGAAAACTATTCAGTGGGGACTCTTCTCCCCTCCACACACACTTTTAAACTAAACTTGAAAACTTAAACTCTTGAAACCTTGTAAGCTAGTCACTTCGTGCCTTTTTTGCCCCCTCATTTTAGGTAGCCAATGTGTAAGTTGCCCGTCACTATCTACCCTGTGTACAGAGGGGATAGCATTGATACTTGATGTGAAGACTTCTTCCGTCTTTATTGGTATTTAGAGTTACTACCTCCATGAGTATAGGTCAGGTTCATCAAATTATAGCAATTTACCCTTGTTTCCTTGATCAAAAATTGTTTGTTGTTGTGTTTTATCTTCCCCTGGCCAAGTTCAGATTATCAAGCTATTGAGGCTAGGTCAAATGGGTACTGTGTGCAAGTTTCTTTTGTTCTTGTACATCTCCCCTCGTTTCATAATCAGCTGGATGCTTTACTCTAGCTCTAGCCCTCTGTGGCTGTGATCTTGTCTACAGTCTCAGTTGTCCCCAGGTCTCCCCACACTTTTGGACTAACCCTTGTTCTTCTCTAATTGCCAGGTCAATGATAGTCAATGGACAGTGGTTGAACTCAGCCCATTTTTTCATTGTTGCCTTTCCTCCTCTTCCACTCACCAGTACAGCAATGTGGTCGCCAGCAAGCTTACATGCCTGTTCATGTGTTCTGTTTGAGTTTGTCTTAGAGGGGACTTTGTCCTGAAGGAACTTGATTGCTTGCCTTGATAGCTTCCCGGCGAACTGCTTGCTTGTTCTTGTAGTAGCCAATCATACTGCCATTTTTGCTTTGGGTTTTTCCTGATGATCTTTCTTTGAAGATGTATCTTTTGACGCTCTCGCTGTTCCAGG